GTTTTGGATGGTGCGTTGTTGTTTACAATGTGAAGGTGTGATTCCCACATGCACGTTTGCACTTGTGCAGAGTGATAATGTTTTATATATTTAAACAGTGGACATGATGTCTGTCTGGATCCCGAAACAAAGTCTGAGTCCAGTGGCACCTTTAAAACTGACAAAGTTTAAATCTGGGTATCAGCCTTTGTGTGCACACACACTTCATCAGATAAAATGTGCATGCACCTGAAAGCTTATACCCAGAATTAAACTTTGTTGGTCTTAAAGGTGCCGACTGGACTCCAACTTTGTTCTGCTGCTTCAGACCAACACAGAGACCCACATGAATGGATCCCAAAACATACGCTAGGAACAACTTGCTAATATACGAAAGCAGAAATTAAAAAAAGAATCAGCACAGAGCACCTTGCGATGCTCATGATGCGACCACGGACATGCTCACTAGGGGCCCCACCCACCCAACCACCCAGGCCGGCATGAAACGAAGTTTTCTCCTGTGGCAAACCCAGCACGGTAGAATGAACATGAGCAAAACCAAGTTCAAATCCTTCTGCAGCTCTCCTGAAAACCACCCAATTCTCAGCACAACACCCCTTCACACAGGCTGCGAGCAAAAGAAGGACCCCATCCTCAGCGTCTAGAGGGAAGGACAAGACCAGGACTGAAGAAACATAAAATCCAGCAAACGCCATCTGTAAGCAGATACAGGAGGGGTGTGGTGCATCTGATGCTTCGGAAGCCAGCGAGCAATCCATTAAGGGAAAGCAACTGCAGGAACCCTGTATCTGATGAAGGGTGCCGTGACTCTCAAAAGCGTATACCCTGGAAATCTTGTTGGTCTTTTAAGGCGCTACTGGACTCAGATCTTGCTTTTGTAGGCCTATTTGCAAAGCTGCTACAAACACATCCTCTTTAACGTACCAAATATTAGTAAAGATTAAGGTTTCCCTCGCTCGAAAGCCAGTCGAATCTGACTCTAGGGGGCAATGCTCATCTCCGTTTCCAAGCCGAAGAGCCAGCGCTGTCCAAAGACTTCTCCGTGGTCATGTGGCCGGCATGACTAAATGCCAAGGCGCACGGAATGCTGTTACCTTCCCACCGAAGCGGTAACTATTTATCTGCTTGCAATTTCTTGCTTTCAAACGGCTAGGTAGGCAGGAGCTGGGGCCAGAGACGGGAGCTCACTTCGTCATGCCGCACTCGGGTCTCGAACTGCCGAACTACAGACCTTCCAGTCTGCAGCTCAGCGTCTTAACCTCTAAGCCACCGCAGCTCCACCAGATATTACAGACACAGAATTTCACATGATTATATGCTACTACAAATCTGAACTCAGCACTCTGTATGTAGAAGGTATCTCCACTTCTTAGACTGCCTAGTACTTGGGACGGATGCACTGCTTTTACAGCTCACTTTAGATTGTTCCTTATACCTAAACCAGGCCTAAACCAGGTTTGGAACAAACCCCTCTTCACATGTAAGGAGTGGTGAGGCCGTAGCTCAGTGGCAGGGCATTTGCTCTGCAGGCAGACAGTCCCTGGTTCAGTCCCCAGCATCTCCACTTAAAGGATCAGGTAGTGGGTGATGTGAAAAGACCTTTATCTGAGACCCTGGAAAGACAAAACTGACCTTGAGAGAGAGAGAAAGCCTGACTCAGCAGGTTCCTGTGTTCAAATTCACGCACACAATAGGAGGTGTTCCTTGCCACGATGTACAACTAACTTACAGAATGGTGTGGCAACTATTACCTTACAGAGCTTCAAAATGAAGGATTAGACAGAATTGGGGAAGAAAAAATCTACAAGATTCCAAGAAGACTTTACTATAATAGAGTCAGACTAGTCTTGTGGGCACAAAATCAAAACCACAGTTGTATGTCTTCTTGTCCAGTTCCCACCGTAGGTAAGAAATGAACCGCCATATACAGAGGCAATATACCTTGGATGAATACATACAGCGCTAATAAAAGGGGATTCCTCCTCCCTCCTTAGGGCTAGCTAGTTGGCCATTCCTGAAGACAGACTGTTAGGACTAAGTGGGTTTTTCATCCAATTCCTCAAAGCTATTTTTATGTCCACTGTAAGCATTTATAGCATGAAGTGCATCGGATGGCCTATCTTAAAAGAGGATTTAACTCAAACCTTGCAGGGTCACGACAGAACTGAGGAAGAGGAGCTGCTCTCTTACCCAGTGTTAGATGAAAGAAAGCTCCACTGATTTCAATGGTCCTGGCGCCCAGTTTGAGACTGCAGTCTGAAGCTCCCAATGAGCAAACCATTTAGGGTTTCACTGCCTTGATTTGTGACCAGAAGGGAATTAAAGATTGTGCACGGCACAGCTTTCTCCTAAAGCCAAGAATTTATTCCTGTCTGGCGCAGAAATCTGTGCAGTCCTGCAGCTTGCTATTTTATCCTAATCTCTCTACCACGAGGATTGAAATCTACCACCTGGAACTGTTCAGGATCCGATACAACTATCAGAAAAAAAGCAACAGCAATGCAGAACGGCTTTTAAAACAGTTCTTCAATCTGTACATTTTTATTCTGCCATTCCTCCCAAAGAACTCAGGGCAGTACACGTCGTCCCCCGCCACGCAACCCAGTGAGTGAGGTTAGGCAGACAGAGAGTAACTAGCCCCCAGTTATCCAAGTATGGTTTGTGGCTGAGCGAGGATTTGACCCTGGGTTTTCCTACACCCTTGTCCCACACTGTAACCACCAGAGAGCGCTGCCTCTCAGTCAGTAGAGACGGTGCCATGAAGTGGCTATCAGTCTTCAAGGTCTGGGTTCAAATCTTGTCTTAGTCACAAATTCATTAGAAGTTTCCTAAGGCAAGCACTTATCCCCCCACCCCACCCACAACCTTTGGACTTCCATCTACAACATAAGGATAAGGCTACCTGCCTTCCTTACAGGGCTGTTGTAAGGATTTACCAAGATCACATACTTAAGAGCACGATGGAAGCCTACGAAGCCCCAACTGTAATAAGACAGGCAGAAGAACTATTAAGAATCCACTAGAAAGAGGGGAGGGAGACCTCAAAAACCCTTCCTGCCAAGACATGCTAAAAGTTGGCTGCCGAGGCCAAACTTTCAAAGCCTGAAAAAATAAACAAATGCAAACACACACACACCCCACCCACGCTTCCCCCTTCCTCCCCAAGGCCCCAGGGGTCAAGCCAGCAGACGATTCCTCCCCCGCTGCGTCTTTGCTTAAGGGTTTACCTTCTTGTCAATGACAGCCACGATCTGGATTCGATACACAGTGAATGTAAAGAAAGCTATGAGTACCAGCCACAGACGTGCACAGGGCCACTAACCAGCCCAAGCTAAAAGCTTGCACTCCAGACAGCCTGCTCCCCCCCCAAAAAACCCCAGTCTTTCATCCCACTGCTACATCAACAGTGCGAACTGTTTGTGGGACCCACGCCACCACAGATGCCTGTCAAACGACTCTCCAAAATGCCAGAGTACCACTGGACTCAATATGCGCAAGCCCTGGGAGTTGGGCACACAACAAACGCCAGCACCACGGGTCCAGTTTCACACCCACCCAGCCAGCTCAGACGCTGCAAAAACACAGACTAAGGTGGAAACCGTCCTCTTAAAAGCTACGCCACGGTCTTGTTTTTCCACCCACGGGTCAACCAACCACTGGCAGTCTGGCAAGACAGACGCTGCTGGCTTTCTCCTTTTCTTTTTCTTTTTATAAAAAAACCCCGGACTCTACAATTCCCCGCATAGGACCTTTTTCTGCAATCACAGGGGACAAGAGGCACAGAGAGGCAGCATGCAACAGTTGCCTCCAAAACTGAGAGAAATCCCAAATGTCCATGTAGTGATCTGCCCTCCCGCCGGCTGGATCCAAGATGACATCCCCACGTGGTGTGGAGAACACCTCAGACTTCGTTGCCTTTCCCTTTGAGATCTGGACAAGGCAGAGAGAAACACAGAGGCATAGGGACCACCACCACCACCACCACCAGAGCAATCCGGCCACTTCAGAGAAAAAGAAAAGTCTAACAAGAGAAGCTTTCCCGCTGGGATATTCAACGTGACTCTGGAGGGGAAGGGGGGGGGGACCTTTAGTTTCCTCTGGGGTTGCCCATCTGCCCAAAAGTTGGGGGTCCCGCCATACTGACCACACAAAAAGGGTTTCCTCCAGAAATAAAGGAGGTGCAGCAGAAATGCAGAAAAAGGACAGCCAAGGAAGGTTGCGCAGAAGACTGTGGGACCGGGGAGGCCCAGAAGGAAACCCACGGCCCTCCCGCCGGCTGGATGAACCCTTGCAGCCCGAGGACGGACAGGGGGGGGGGCAGGCCACCGATGACAGCTGGGCAAGGAAGCAACAGTTGGGTCTTCTTCCGAAGTCCCATGGAGAGAGGACGAGGCAGGCAGGCGGGAGGGAGGGAGGGAGGGGGGCACGGATCTTCCCCCCCCCCGCCAAGCTTCCCCCCAAAACTCCCAGCCGCGGTCGCTGCTGCGGCCAGCGCAAGAAGCCCACAATTTCCAGACGAGCGCAGCCATCTTTCTAAGCTCTGCGGGGGGGGGGGGAGGTGAAGCCCCCTCCCCTCCGGCCGCCAGGCAACTTCTAGCAGCCCGACGGGGCGAGAGGGGGAGATGTCATCCCCGGGAGAGAACGGAGCGTGCGGGCCCGATCCTGCCCCGGATCACAACGCAACTTTGGTAAGGGGGGGGGGGGGGGCCGGAGCCCGACGCCGCTCGGCACAAAACACACAACTCCGAGAGAGAGAGGAAGGAGACGAGCGAGGCTCTCTCGACGCGCACACGCAGGCAGGCAGGCAGGCAGGCAGGCAGGCAGACTCTTCGGCTCACACTCCCGGAACTCCCCCCCCCTCCTCCTCCTCCCGAGAACGCCACACACGATCCACCCCCCAGCCCGGCTCCCCTTCCCCGGCCGCCCCTCGCGGAGCAAAGTTTGCACGAGGAGGAGGCAGCGGCAGGGCAGGTATGCCCGACACGGGCCGCCGCTCTTACCTGGGGAAAGCGCTCGCGGCTTCCCGGGACGGACGGGCACCAAGAGGACTCTCCGCTCCGGCCCCCTCCTCGGCCGCCCTCCAGCCCCCTCGCTCGCCCGGCCCCTCTTCGCAAAGTCACCCCGAGCGGCTGGCGGCGGGGACGGGGACAGGGGGAGGAGGCGGCGGGGACGGGAGGTTGCGCTGGCCCGGGGGCGCGCGCCCCCCCTCCCGCAGCCAATCGCCCTGCCGCGGGGGAGGAGAGGAGGAGGGGCGGGGACGCCGGGCAGACCGCGGAGTCATCCAGGCAGGGCGCGAGGGGGCATCGGCGGCAGAGCCTCGGCTCGGCGCGCCAAAGGTCCCGGGTTCGATCCCGGGGATCCCCCCTTAGGAGGACTGGGCAGGAGGGGGATGTGGGCCCCGGGAAGCCGCTGCCAGCCCGAGCAATCGATCCGGACCTCGACGGACCAAGGTCTGGTTCGGGAGAAGGCAGCTTCAGGGTGTGTGCCGGCGGCGGCAGGACCTTGAAGAGCGCCGCTGCTGCCCGGGCTTGCAAAACCTCACTGGGGCGAGGGGTTGCCCGGGACCTCAGTCGCCCGAGTCAGCGTAAGCGGAGGCAAGCGGGGTCAGGCCCTGGGAAGGGCAGAATTGCCCACAAGCAACACGGCGCGGGCCGGTCCTGGAGGCAGGTGGGCGTCTGCACTGTGAGAAGCAGAAGGTGCCCCTTCAGTCTGATCGCTGCTAAGGTGGCTTCACCATCTCTGAGCCACGCCCCCCCTCCCCCCAGGGGCAATACAGCAAGCAGAAAAGCTTTTTTAAGCAAATACTTGGATAGGCTAGCAGATGTCCTCTTTTTATGGTGTCCATTCTCCTTTGGGCTCTTTTTAAAAAATTATTAAAATGTCCTCTCTGGGAGCTGGAAGGTTAGGAATATTTATAGTTAGTTACAATCATCACAGCATAAATAGGGGGGGGGGGTTCTGAAATGAGATTTGTCATAGGGGTCACTTGTTTGAAGTAGTCAGTCAGGAAATATGTCCTCTTTTTTGCTTTTCAAGGTATGGCCATCCTTAGAAGACTCCATTTTAAAGGCTACAGTTATTCATTGCTTGCCTCCAGGAACCCTGGCCCTGAAGGCAGAATGCAGTAGCTAATATTCTGGTCTCCAGTCTGTGAGAATTAAGTCCATCCTTGCTGGAAAGTCCCTGTTCTTCAACTTTGGTCTTCCCGACCTGTAAAATGGGGATATTAGCCACCACATTTCCCAGGTTTATGTCCCAGCTGTTGACAAAATTAGTACTGTGCTCTATTAAGATAAAAGACGATAAGGATGCTTTCACACACACTAAATAACGCACTTTCAATCCACTTTGCAAGTGAATTTTACTGTGTGAAAAGCCAAAATCCACTCGCAAATGGTTACTGAAATTATTTAGCATGTGTGAAAGTGCACATTTTGAAAGCAAAGGGAAAAAGCACTCTCTGCACAGGCAGGGGCACTCTCTTCGGTGCATATCCCTTGCCTGTCCCTTAGTTAAAAATAACTAAGCTTTACAACAACAACAAAAAAGCTTTAAAAAACCGGGGTACAAATTTTGCTTCAAATTGAGCTGCGAAGATTATGGACAGCATGGGAAATGAATGGGGGGAGTGTACTATTTTGCATAATGGAGTGACTTAAGAATATAATTTATTTTTCACATTTATATCCCGCCCTCCCCAGTGGGCTCAGGGCGGCTGTGAAAATATCACAACGAGTTACAGTCAGAAAGTAAAAGGTTTTTTAAAATAAAGCACATTATGTTTTATTAGGCACCGACTATAGAACAGTATAGGGGCTCCAGTAGCTCAAGTGGTTAAGAAGCTGAACTGCAGACCAGAAGGTCAGTACTTCAGCAGTTTGAGACCCAAGTGCCGCATGACGGAGTGAGCTCCCGTCTCTGGCCCCAGCTCCTGCCAACCCAGCGGTTCAAAAGCAAGAAATTAAATAGGTACCACCTTGGTGGGAACGTAACAGTGTTCCATGTGCCTCGGCGTTTAGTCATGCCAGCCACATGACCATGGAAACATCTTCGGACAGTGCTGGCTCATCAGCTTGGAAACAGAGATGAGCACCGCCCCCTAGAGTCAGATTCGACTGGCTTTCGAGCAAGGGAAACGTTTACCTTTCCTATAGAACAGTATGCAAATGATACAATAAAATCCTCCAGTTAACATAAACAAAACATAATCCCAGCCAAGAGGAAGATCCGTAACAAAATGACATGCGTCTATAAATTTAAAATACAACATAATTAGTACGGTTGATTAAGGTAAAATCTAAAAGAAAAGCTCCTGCAAGTCGCATGAGTGAAAACAATAATGACTCCAGGCTAAGAACAGGTGTCTCCTCTCTCCCCGCCCTCCTGGGAAAGACCTGGCAGTTCCCAACTGTGCAGGAACATCAGGAGGTTTGTTAAGCCCAGTCGGATTCAAGGTGGTCGAGCTCCCAATCCACATGGGTCCTTTTTCCTCAGAGAAAAGCATCCTTGAGCATTTCTCTGTTGCCGCCTCCCTCCCCCGTAAAGTCTCTTGCACTAAAGGTGGGCTGACAGTCTTGCATGATCTATTCTTTTTTAATTAGAATCTCTGTGGTCTGCTGATGCTTTCTCAATTTACACCACAAGAGTGGATATTTGGGCAATTAAGGTATAATCGATATTGCCCTGACCTGGATAGCCCAGGCGAGTCAGATCTCGGGAGCTAAGCAGGGTTGACCCCGGCTAGTACTTGGATGGGAGACCTCCAATGAATAGCAGGGTCATGACGCAGAGGCAGGCCAAGGCAAAACCACCTCTGAACGCAAAAAAAAATCTGTATTAAGTCAACCTGAGTGTGCACTCACCTGAGATCAGGACAAAGTGCCTTAGCTTCTCCAAACCAACATCTACTCCCGCCTGCACTTTTTGAAAGAACCCCAGCAAACAGTAAACAGAAGAACTGTCCAAGAGCCCACTAGTGGACACCAATCTCTTCTGCCCCTATCTACTTTCTGTTCGCAGTCGTTCCCAAATTGGGTACCAAGGGATACTAGCAAACGAAGGGAAATAATTAAACAACTGGTTTCGCAAAGCTACTTCGACAAATTGTGAGAGACTGTGGTCTATACTACTGTGTAGAGTGTATAAAGGTAAAGGTAAAGGTTCCCTTGCTCGAAAGCCAGTCGAATCCGACTCTAGGGTTGCGGTGCTCATCTCCGTTTCAAAGCCGAAGAGCCAGCGCTGTCCAAAGACGTTTCCGTGGTCATGTGGCCAGCATGACTAAACACCAAGGCGCACGGAACACTGTTACCTTCCCACCGAAGTGGTCCCTATTTATCTACTTGCAATTTCTTGCTTTCGAACTGCTAGGTTGGCAGGAGCTGGATCTAGAGACAGGAGCTCACCCTGTCTTGCGGCACCCGGGTCTTGAACCGCTGAACTACTGACCTTCCACAGCCTGCAGTTCAGCGTCTTAACCACTTGAGCCACCACTGTAATTTGGGTTCCACAGTGGCTCAAATGGTTAAGACACTGAACTGCAGACTGGAAGGTCGGTAGTTCAGCAGTTCGAGACCCGAGTGCTGCATGACGGAGTGAGCTACTGTCTCTGGCCCCAGCTCCTGCCAACCTAGCAGTTCGAAAGCAAGAAACTGCAAGTAGATAAATAGGTACCGCTTCGGTGGGAAGGTAACAGCGTTCCGTGTGCCTCGGCATCTAGTCATGCCGACCACATGACCACGGAAACGTCTTTGGACAGCACTGGCTCTTCAGCTTGGAAACGGAGATGAGCACCGCATCCCTAGATTCAAATGGCTTTCGAGTGAGAGAAACTTTTACCTTTACCCTATGTTCCATCCTGTTGACTGTATTAACCCACCCTGTGTAGTCCACTTGCGTCCCAGTGAGAAAGGCGGATTATAAATAACACAAATAAAATAGAATCATAAGGGCATCTGTGGAGCTCACAACAACGTAGGAGGCTGCCCTATGTGTCTCTGCATGAGCTCCCTCTGGCCTTGCATCCTTACAGTTCGTGCCAATTGTTGCTGATCCCGCACAATATAATGCCTTCAGGGAAGACCGCTGTTTGACTTCTTCACTACTCTGGAACTGCTTCCCTTGTGCACACCCTAGCAGTAACTCATGCAGAAGAAGCAGTCTCCGGTGAGGGGAGGAGCCTTCTCAGTCTGACTGCTTTAAAAAGAACTTTTGCAGACGTACCAGATAAGCCTGCCTCAAGTTTTAACACTGCCCCTCCCCCCAAAAAAGTGTGCTTTAGCCATCCAAAACTTCGGAAGTGGAGATTATTTATTTATTTGTTAGTGGCCCTCCTCCATAAATTAGGACCAAAGCACCCAGCCATAAAAATCAAGAAAACTCTAGAAAACATTAAAACTATTAAAAGGATTATTGTGTCAACAGAAGCACAGGTAACAGTAGCATGAAATGCAGCTGGAAAATTCAACTATTCGAGAGGTCATTTCTGTGCAGGCACTGTACAAAAGGGTTTCACAAACTTGCTCGGATAAAGGATCAGGGACTGTGGTGTAGACTGCTGTGTGTGGCCTATTGTAAACAGCTTCCTATTGAGCCAGTTTGGTGTAGTGGTTAAGCGCGCGGACTCTAATCTGGGAGAACCGGGTTTGATTCCCCACTCCTCCACTCACAGCTGCTGGATTACCTTGGGCAAGCCATAGTTTTGTCAGAGCTGTCCTTGAAAAAATAGCAGTTTCTGTCAAGAGCTCTCTCAGCCCCACCTACCTCATAGGGTGTCTGTTGTGGGGAGGGGAAGGGAAAGGAGTTTGTAAGCCGCTCTGAGACTCCCTTGGGTAGTGAAGGGCAGGGTATAAATCCAATCTCCTCCTCCTCCTCCTCTATTGATGTGATTTCTGCACCACTTATGGTGCTGTGCTTCTGTTTCTTTCTGGTGCTGTCCCCAATATTATTTAACATCTATATGCGCCCCCTCGCCCAGATTGCTCGGAGTTATGGGCTGGGATGTCATCAATATGCGGATGACACCCAGCTCTATCTAATGCTGGGCGGCCGGTCAGACTCCGACCCGGATGACCTCCATCGGGCGTTGCAAGCTGTGGCTGGTTGGCTCAGGCTGAGTCGGCTGAAGCTAAACCCGGCGAAGACAGAGGTCCTGGGCCTAGGTCGGGTCGGTTCGGGGTTGGGGCTCC